AGGTAGTTGGGGAAATTGTGTTCCCTATGGGTTGCTAAGTTTTTGGGCTCCACATGCCATTGGAGAGCTGCAGGAACTGTACGTGATCTGGTTAGTTTGGGGCCCTTGGAAGATTATGATCTACTTGGGGTAGAGTTCTGGAGAATTCAGATGAAAACAGTGTATGACACATGACTCAGTGCTGACACATTGCCTGTTACCAAGAGACTGTTATTCCTGGAGGTTATGTGTGGGGGAGGCGAAGGGAAGTAAATCTGACCAGCGATGACTGACAAGTCCAGGCATCCTCTAGACTCCAGACTGAGTTATTTACCTCATAGTCTCCTTTGGAAACTAGGTCATGGTCATAGGGCTTTGAGACCTGCTTAAATGTTTCTCCAGTTGAAAAGCGTCTCTAATGTACGGCTTTTCCTGAGCATGTGCTTTGGCAGAAAAATAACTAGAACAACTACTACCATTTCTTGAGTGCTTACCATGAGCTGGGCATTATGCTGAAAATGTCCCAAACATTTTATCTAACCTTATGACAACCCCATGAAGCCCCATATTGCTGATGAGAAAGCTGAGACCTTAGAGAACAGTGAATTTCTTGAGGTCTTAATAGCTAGTAGTTTGCAAAGCAGGCTTTTTAACCAGCATGTCTTAAAGACTTCTCAGAGGTGGGTTCCCTTGAATGTGCTAGCTTTTGGAAACACTTAATGACCAGAACAGAATATTTGAAAATATCTTGAATCATATTTTAAATTTCTCCTTCTTCATTTTCCTTCCTTGTAATTATATAGGAATATGGTATAAGTATATAAAACCAAAAAAAAATTTTTTTTTTTACTTTAATTGTTTTACCTGCTATTTTGGAAAGAAAAGCAGTTTGATATACATGACAGTTTTATTTCTAAATAAATTTACATTGCAAGAGACTGGAAGGACTATGGAAAGGTCACTTAAATAGACTTGGCAGAGTACATTCCTGAAGAAACAGTCTGTTTCACTGACATAAACTTTAGTGTAGACAGTGCTGACTGAGATAATGAGAGCTGCCATGTATTGAATGCCTATGATGTGTCAGTGTGCTAGGCATTTTAGCTAGGCTATGAGTCGCTTTTCTAGGTAATTCTGTAAAATAGGCTATTTTCTATTCAGAGTAGGGTACTGAAGTTGTTACGGCTTAATTTGCTGTAATTAAGCGATCACCTGTCTCACTTGAACCTTTTCTCTTTCTGCTGTACAGCACTACTCCATTTTTAAATAGAGCCAAGTTTATATCTTTCATGCTATTTTATTATTATTATTATTTATGCCTACAGCACGTGGTCTTCCTAGGTGGTCTCCCATCCAAGTACTAACCAGGCCTGACCCTGCTTAGCTTCTGAGATCAGATATCGGGCTTGTTCAGGGTGGCATGGCCATAGTCCGAGGTTCTACTGGAGCACGAACCCAGGACCTTCTCCATGTAAGCAGACATGCTAACCGCTACACTATGGAACCATGTCCTCTTTCATGCTATTTTTAAAAGGGAAGATTTTAAACTGCTCCCTCCTTTTATTATTCCATTTTGTCTTTATAATCTAGTAAAAATAATATAAAAATGTATGAAAACTTCAGGAAGACCTTCTGATTTATAAGCCAGTACACTTTTCTCCCAGTCCCCATATTTGGAGAAAAAAAATGTTTACATGGGTATTAAAGGATTCCACAGCATTAAAAAAAAAAAAGGTGAAAATGCCCTTTTTTTCAGAGAAGTTACTGTGAACAGTTTGGTATATGTGCATGCATGTGCATGCATGTGTTATGCATAAATGTAAAAACAAAGCATTTTCTTTTTCATTTCTTTTTTTTCCTTCCCTTTTTGTTTGGAAACATTTTTTTTTTTAAAGTGGCTCACATTGTGTGTTTTGTTCATCATCTTGTTGGGATAAACCTATTCTTTGGATGTTACATTGCATCTTGTGATGTATCCTAACTGATTTAGCCATTTCTGTGTTGATATGTATTAGATTGTTACCAGTTTTCTTATTATAAACAATATTTTATTGCACATACCTCCTTATAGGTAATGTGGCTATATATTTAAGAAAAATTCTTTGAAAGAGAGAAATGCTAAACTGAAATATATGCTAATTTCCTTTTTTTTTTAATTATTTTTTTATGATGACATTGGTTAACGAAATCCAATAAGTTTCAGCTGTACACTTTAACAGTAAGGCATGCTTATATGTGTGTTCATTACCCATAGTTAGATTTCTTTCTGTCACCACATATTTGACCACCTTTACCCCGTCTACCTCCCCGCTCCCCACACCCGCTACCCCCTATGCAATTTCCTTTCTTAGCAGAGGTTTAGGATAATACTGTCCTGACCACTGCAGGCCTCCATTCTAACCTGACCTTATATCTGAGTTGCATGGCTACTCCATACAGCTGTGCAAATCATACATCAGTACCTAAACAGCCTTTCACAGGCCTTTCTGTGAGACATAACTGAAATAGTCAATAATCTGGTGATGCAGCCTTCTTGCCTCTGTCTCTATGGAAAAGATTGTGCCTCTCAGCAAAATTGTGAGTTGCACAGATAAGTCCCTGGCTGTGCCCAGGGGCCAGATCCCCCAGAAAATGTCTCTCTCCCTTTATATTCTACCCACCACCCAAGAAGCCAGTGATGACACCTAGGGGTTTGGCTGACTCCTTCAGTCAATCTTGGCTTTGTCAGTCTCTAGGACCATTTTTTTTTAAAATAGACTTTTTTGAGCACAATTGGGTTCACAGAAAAATTGAGCTAAAGGTGGAGATTTCCCATAGATCTCCCTGCCCCCACACATGCACAATTCCTCCCTAGTATCAGCATCTCCCATTAGAGAGGGACCTGTTACAACAGAGGAACCTACATCTACACACAATTACCATCAGAGTTCTAAGACCATTTTCCACTATAGAGCTGCATGGCTCACTCCTAACTTCCTTTAAAGTCTTTGCTCAAATGTTACATTCTCTGACAACCCTATATAAAATTGCAGCACCTTACCTCATTTCCTCTTTGGCATGCTATACTTTCTCTTTGTTTTAATCTATAGCCTTTTAATATTTATCATCTGTATACTATATTTTGTTTTTGTTTACCTTCTGTAGTTTATAAATTCAGTGATGGCAAGAGTCTGTTTCTTCACTCTCTTATTTTCAGTACTTGCCTTAGACTAGATGCTCAGGAAATATTAGTGGCTCAGTGAGTAAATGAACAAACAAGGAGCTCAGGACCACTCTCTCAGGTTGGCATCCCTCAGCAGCCCAACCTGCCTCCTCCTGCACTGCCCTCTTTCCACCAACTGGCCCTAGGGGTGGGCACTGCTAGGCTGCAGGCAGGTGCAGCTTATCCACTGGGACCGTCATGTGAGGCACCGCCATCACAGACGCTTCAGAAGCTTTAACGACATTTGGAAGATTAATGCCAAAATGAATGCCTACTATTTTATCGATCACTTACTGTATGCCAGCCCTGCTTGTCAAGGAAAAATGAGAAGCAGCAAAAAGTGGGATAGGGAAAAAAGGGTTAGAAGGGAGAGAGAAAATTATAGGATGGAGGGAGGAAAAGAAGGGAGAAGAAGGATAGAGGAGGAGACGGGGAGAAGGAGAAACAGAAGTATCTTTGAGAGAGGGAAAGTGAGAGAGAATTGAGAGAGTGCTTATGGTGGGATTTGCGTTGGAGAATTTAGAAAACTTGCTTAAGGCCACCATATCTGGTTGGAGGAGTAACTGGCTCCAAGCATGTTGACTCTGAAGAGCTCTAGTAGTGTGAATTTAAGTAGAGTATTTGCAGTATCCATGTTGTATTCTTTGGGGCAGTGGGGGCGGGGGGGGATGAGTGACAAATGATAGTTACTCATATGGAAACGTTGTAATCATCAAGTCAGCAATTTTCATTTCATGGTCGGTGAAATTAAAGACTTTATCAGGAGTCAGTAGAGCTGAAGGACTAATTCAGTGTTTCAACCTTAGCCAAAAGTGTAACAGTCTCTTAAACATATCAGGCTGCTAAAATTGTTATAAATTTAATATAGAGTTTCCATTTGTATCAGATGATTTGTTAAATCTGTAGTAAGATAATTTAGTAACATAGCCTTTGCCTTAAGGATGTTTGAAAAAAATAGAAACTATTTAAAGCAAGTTAGGATAACTGCAGTAAATTTACAGACACATACAAGAAAGGGAAAAGGAAACAGCTGTTGATAGTGTTAAACCAGAGAGAGAGAGAGAGACAGAGAGAGACAGAGAGAGAGAGAGAGAGAGAGAGAGAGATTGTTTCTAGAGACACACAAGATGGTACTAAAGCTGTCTGCCCAAGTTGGATAACAACTTAAAGAAATCCAATACTATTATGAGAGAATGCTCAAGGATTGCATTGGGAATTAAGTACCTTTTATGAGTGGAAGTAAAACCTTAAGACTGGCTCTTACTGGGGCCCACTTTTTTATTTTATTAAGTGTTGAATTCTTATGTAAAGATCAACATTGATTTCCTTTCTCTTGCATACTCTTTTACCTTTTGATTCTAGTGAGGATGCTGACACAACTTGTTTTCTCGGGCAAATTAAAGCTGAGTTTTAGTTTTCTATCTTTAAATGGAATATCAATCAGTATATGGGTATCAGTATCTACCTTGCAAGTTTATTGTGATGTTTACATGAAATGTCATTTTTAAAAGGGCTTAACACAATGCTTGGCACATAGTAGACACTGGGGAAATGTTATTTCCTTTCTTCTCATGATAAACTTGTGCACTTTTTTTTTCTTGCTGAAGTGGCTTTGAGTAGCAGCCTCAAAATTAAAAGTGCACTTGGCCTTTGATATATGCTAGCCAGTTTGTTCATGCAGCTTGGAAGTTGGTGAAGAACTATTTTCTAATTCAAATGAGAACTTTGAATTCCTTTTCCAGTACTATTTCTTACAGGTTAGGCATGCCTATGCTTTTATTTATGGGCTGATATTCACAGGCTATTTATTTTTTTTCAGATGAATACATTTGTCACTTTCCACTGACTGACAGCAATGGCGTTTACTGAAAGAGTCAAGAGCAGTGGCAACAGGTATGAATTTATCCATAATTCAAAAATGATGATGTTTAATTTTATAATTTATTTCTCAAAGAATAATTTGGTCCTTTTCATTTTTGCAACTTATGAACCCAGATACATGAAAATGTGAAAATTTTGGGTTTCTCTACATAAAGTCAAACCTGTTAGACTGGCTACATATTTTCTTTAAATTTGGTACTCTGAGTCTCAACTCATTTCTTTAACTTGTGGATATTACATGAGATCAGCATCCTAATTCAGTGTTCAAGACACTGGTCCATATTGTACCGAACTGGGAAAATGCGCGCATATTCAGCATGTGCTGAAACAAATATGATGAAATCCACCTTATCATGAGAGCCTTGAAGGAAGGTATTCTGTCATTGTTACGTTTTCTGACTTTCACATCTTTCCCTCCAACTTTGCACATACAGTAAACTGCCTTCTTGCATATATTACATGACCATTGTTGGCGGGTGCATATTCACATTCTTATGCAGTTATTAAGAATAACTCATTTGATAGCCAGAAAGAATTCTTAATATCACTCATCAGTTTTATTCTATTAGATTCAAAAACATATTAAAGTATGAGACTCAAACTTACTCAGCTAATATTTATTGAGTAATAGATGATGGTGCCTCTCTATTCTAGATGTTTTCCTACTTTATCCCCCTTTCTGTTCAATAAACTCATTCTTTATTCCAGGTGGTTCTGGTACTGTTGTTAAACATGGTACTCTCTCCTCCCCCACAGAGGAAGGCATGTGACCCAGGCTGCAACAATCCATTCTGCTAGAGCCTGGGAGGAAACTGTTGTCATCTGTCTTTAGACTTGTTCCTAATGTGGTTACACATAAGTTTTGAATTTTTATGTAGTCAAATGTCTTGTTCTTTATGCATTCTGGTTTTGATTGTGCTTAGAAAGGTCTTTCCTACTCCAAGATGGTAAAAATAGTGTCATGTGTTCTCTGCAGCGCTTGAATGGTTTCATTTTTTTTCTTGCATTTAAATCAGAATTTGTAAGCTGGTGACCTATGGGATAGATTGGCCAACAGATGGGCTTTGTTCGGACTCACTGTGTTCTAAAAGGATATATCTGCCAACTTTTTTTACATAACTATCTAGACTTCCATCTTCTCTTGAAAAATTTAGTGTTAAACAACATCAGGCTTGTATTACCGTATAGAACACTCAGAATTGAATAGCTACTGCTCCTTTAGACAAGGCAGAGCTGTCTAATTCAGAACTTCCTAAGTAGTACGTCTTAATACTTCTCAGGGTGTGCTGATATGTTGATTCCCCTGAGCCTGCGGGTCAAACAGAACTCCAGAACTCCCACCTGATTTGCTCCTGCAGACATGCGCTTTGTCAGCTTGCCTCACAGACTTGGTGTTAAAAAAAAAAAAAATGTTTGGGAAAGCACAGATGTTTTCTAGTTCACTACAATTCCCACAAAGCTGGATTCACATATTTGGTTAGCTGTTTAGCCCTCTTAACTTGTGACCCATTTTAGATCTTTTTGACTTTATAGTATTTTGATCCGTTATTAATTTTAGTGTAAAATATGTGTTGTGAATTCCCATACTAATAAAAAAGGGAAAAAGTTCAGGGGAGGTTAGGGAGCCTTTTTTTTTTTTTTTTTTTTTTTTTTAAGCAAAAGGCTAGCCACTTGTTCAAACATAACTTATTATATCATCTATCTTTTCCCACTGATTTGAGTGCTTTGTCTGAATTCTATCACGTTCTTCGATCTATTATTAGACTCTTGTTCCATTGATTGTATCTTTTGGCAATGTGCCATACTTGTTCATTATATTTTTATAGATTCTAATATTCAGGCCGATTCTTTGTCATTACATTCCCACATATACTCTGAAGTGATTAATCATTTTCTAGAAAAGTTATTGTTGGCATTTGATTAGGGTCCCTTTGAATTCATCAGTTAGGGAGCATTGACTTCTATAGAGTATTAAAACTGGGTCTTCCTACAAAATAATGTAAATATTGGGTTGGTGAAAATGAAAGAGGATGAAGAAATTTTAAATTTCAATTATAAGATTTTTGTGGAGGTCGATTTTTCAGAAGTTTCTAGTAGTTGACATTGTTTCTAGTATAATTTCTGGTGGAAGGAGCCATTAAATTAGTTAACAGTATAATCAGTGGCAAGATTAAAAAGATATTTTGTATTCTATTATTTACATGTTTCCTATGGTTGCTATTTAAGTTAGGATGGGTGGCTGCCCTTTGTAATAACATTCTAGCAGTTACCGAACTGTTTTATTATAGTAGCCAGTACAGGTGAAAAGCTAGGGGGAATACTAAATGGAGCTCTATTTTTAATATATAGCAATAGCTCACTGGTTTGAATGCTTAATCACGATAGGAGTCCAGAACATCAAGTTTATATGGCACTGGTCCAGGACTAGCACATATTTTAAAGGAAACAGATGTGTATCGAGTATGCAGTTCTAATCAAACTAAATAGAAGTCTGAGTGTGAACCCTTACTTTGTTCAGAGCTATCAGAAGTCATAAGCATGGACAGAATATGAATGTAATGTGTAAAGATAGTATTTTAATTCTTACAAATAATAGGCTTATTCTGCGATTTTTTTCAGATATATCAGCATTAGACACTATTGAATCTGAGCTCACTTATATTTCTCCCCTACCTTCCTTTCCTTTCGCTTGCTTTTTGTTCTTTCCAAAAATTTTATTGGGAGTATAACAAACTGAAAAGGGCAGACATTATTAGTACAGTTCAATGCATTTTCACAAAGTGAACACGCTTGTGTAACCAATCAAGCGACAACAATACCAGCTCTCCAGAAGCCCCTGCCTGTCCCCTTTCAGCTGCTACCTCCCTCAAAGGCTGCCACTATTCTGACATCTAACACCATGGATTTGTTTTGCTTGCTTTTGAATTTTATTTAAATATAATCATATGCTATTTTATGTTTTATAATCAGTTTTGATGTTCGTTATTTTGTTTTGCTATTTAAATGTTTTTAACATTTAACTATAGTAATGTATTCTATATTAATATACTATATGAGTTATACATTACATAATCAATATTCAATATTTTTTATTTTCTTTTGCCATCAACTTTCCATAGTCTGGTATGATAATAATTCTTATTCTTTCTTCCACTTATTCTTGCTCTTCTATCCTCCAACTGTTAGCTCTGCTTTCCGTTTTAAATTGTCCAGGTTGATAGCACACTTTATTTTATAATTATCTGTGCCCTTGCAAGCTTTGTCTTTAAATTGATAATAAAAGTTGAAAAACTAATCAGCATTATTTACATGATTTTGAACAGGAAGCAAAATAATGTTTAGGGTTTCATTTATCCTCTATGGGTTCAAAGTCAACCCAAATACCGCTTGAAAGAGAAGGTTCATATTGATCAGGACAAACGAACTCATCTTTTGATAAGAAAGTTGTTCAAATTCATGCCATATTTTAAATTGCATGACTTTTGAATGGTGTTTTTATTTTTCCTGGACTTTTAATTTACTCTTCTTTTCTTTGTTGAAAAAGAACCTGCATTTTTGCCTTTTCACTAACATGTTCCCCTTTTTACCCTTCTGTCGTACCTTGCTTGAAATCTCATTTTCTTCTTGGGATTAGGAAACTAAAATTAATTTTTACGAAGTCTGTGCTAAATTACATTCCTCTGAAATTGGGCTCAGGTAAATGAAGCCAGAGAAGAAATCTGGGATACGTCCTGGGAAATTTTTACTTGATGCTTCAGGGAAAACATGTTAAGATAAAACTAAGAATGAAAGAAATTTTATTTCAGGCTATGTCACCAGATTTGGGGGACATGATTTTATTGTTTCAGTCAGTAAAGATGGGTACTTCTCATAAATGTCTTAGATCTGCTAATGGGCTTTAACGTACTTGGAAAATGTGAGGGATTGTATTTTGTGAACCCTGAATCATATGATTGTAGTGTTGGAAGCTCTCCTTCCCAGGAGAGTCTGAAATAATGTGTAACTCTCCTGATTGAGAAGAGTCCTCAATTAGTGAGGAAGCTACAAGATGTTAAGCTGATTAGCACTTATCATATGGACAGGTTTTTCTGTGTGTGAGTAAATCAGGGGCCTAACTTCCAAATGCTTATTGGAGAGATTAATGGCTCTCATTTTCCTGAAACCGTGATTGGCCTTGGCATTGTCAATAATCCACACCTGGATTTGCGAACTGGGAAACAGGTTTCCTGTATTTCCCAAACAAGTCGTTTTAGGTTTGATTTACAAGTGCAATAATGTTTTGTACACAGAATTCATTGTTCCTCTTTATTTTAGAAAATGGTTCCTAAGTATTAAGTATGTCATTGTCATTTGTAGTTTAGGAGGAGTCACTCGGTTTGATAGATTTAGAAGAGTTGGATTTTAGGCTTATTATTGCAGACCTCGGGAAATCTTTTTCAGAATTAGTTACTTCCAAAGGGACAGTTACATTTGGGGAAATGCAGACTAAACTGTAGAAATATTGAATAATTTCACCAGTAAAATTCATTTGACCTTTTACTGGATTTGTGATACGAGAGCTTGAGGGTAGGACTCTGGAGTTGGACAGCTCGTGTTTAGATCTCTGACAACTTTGGTTACTTGGGCAAATGGCTCAAGTTTTAAAGCCTCGTTAAAATGGAGATAAGAGAATAATGCATGTAAAGCGCTTATCATCCTTGACTGGTACATCATAAATCCTCAATAAATTATAAAAGTCCACCACTCCGGTGATGATGGTAGAATGGTGGGTTTCAGAGGAGTCGGTAGCTTCCTGAATACTACTTTGAGGGGAGAGGCTTTCTTGAGAGGCAGCTCAGGATGGAAAAGATTCCTTTGTGAGCTACTCTAGGAGTAGCTTTCATAGGAAGGAGAACATAGAGGAAACAGACCTTTGAAAGCAAAACACAGAGTACATTCATTTGAGAGCATGTGGGTACATTTACAAGTTTTACTGTATTCTACTTTATATTTAATATTGGCTTTGGGGTTGT